TAATGTTGTTATAGTTATCTACTTGCTGTGTAACAAACCACCCCAAAGTTTAATGGCTTTAACCAACACTTTTATTATCTCTCCTGAATCTGTGGGTTTATGGGGTTTGATTGGCCTCAGTTGGATATCTCTTTTATTGTATATGATAGTTGGCTGGGTCACCAAGTTGGTCACCAGGAGATTGGGCTGGAACCACCCAGATGGTTCACTCACATGGCTGGCCATTGATGTTGGCTACAGGCTAAGAGCTCAGCCTCTCCACGTGGCTTGGCCTTCTTAAAAGGTGGCAGCTGGGTTCCACGAGGGGATATCCCAAGAGCTGGTGTTCTGTATTAGGGTTCTCCAGAAAGACAGAAACAATAAGAGGGAGATGGATGGATGGGTGAGAGTGAGAGGGGGGTTTGTTAGGGGAATAGCTCATGTGATTATGGAGGCTGAGAAGTCCCATGATAGGCTGTCTGCAAGCTGGAGACCCTGGAATGCCAGTAAACCTGGTTCAGTCCAAGTCTGAAAGCCTCAGAACCAGGGAAGCTGATGGTGTAATTTTCAGTCTGAGGCTGTAGGCCTAAGAACCTGGGAGTCCTCTGGTGTAAATCCTGGAGTCCAAAAGCCAGAGAGCCTGGAGTTCTGATGTCCAAGGGCAGGAGAAGAAAAGTGTCCCTGCTCCAGGAGAGAGACAGGAAATCACCTTTCCTCTGCCATTTTTGTTGTATTAGGGTCCCCAGCGGATGGGATGCTGCCTGCTCACATTGAGTGCAGATTTTCCACGCTCAGTCCACTGACTCACGAACCGATCTCCTCTGGAAATGCCAGATAGACACATCCAGAAGTAATGCTTTACCGGTGCTGTAGGTATTTCTTAGTCCAGTCAAGTCGACACTTAAAATTAACCATCACATGTTCCAGAGGGATAAAATAGAAGCAGGTAACCTTACAGGCTAGGCCCAGAACCAATGCAGTATTTTGGTAAAATAGTCACAGGGCAAGCCCAGATTCAGAAGGGGAAATAAACTCCGTCTCTCAATGGGGGAGCATGACTAAGAATTTGTGGCCATCTTTAATCTCATCAGAGGCTTTCCCTGAAATACCCAACATCGCCTAATTCATCTGTACCATTTTCCTGCTTTATCGTCTCCTTAGGATTTATCACTACTTCAAACTTTATGTGTGTGTGTGTATACATATATATACATACATATATGTATACATATATATGTATATGCATATACTATATATGTGTATACACACACACACAAATACACACCACTCTTTCAGACCAAGTACCACATCCTTTTTTACTTTATCCTCTTTCTTGGGCTCTCTAAATTCAGTTTTTTCCTCATTCTGTAATATATATATATATATAGTTGTTGCCAACTTATTGTTCTTCCCCCCCTAGAATGTAAACTTCTTGAAGAAAACCTGGCCTGTCTAGTTTCCTGGTATCCCTGTCACTTAAGTTAGTGCCCAGTATACAGTAGGTATTTAGTAAATGCTGAACAAATGAATGCTGAACTTTTTCCCCCAAACCATATTCTCATTCTGAATTTCTTTTTTAAGTTCATATCACCTTTTTTGTTACTGCTTGGCCATAAAATCTTGAAGTCATGTTTGTCATCTTTTCCTTTCCTTCTATGTGCTGAAGTCTGTAGAATTAATCTTCAAAATGTGCCGTGTGTGTTCTGTTTTTATTGCTACCACTCTTTCAGACCAAGTACCACATCCTTTTTCTACTTCAGCCTCTTTGTTGGGCTCTTTGAATCTAGTTTCTTCCTCATTCTGTACACTTAATGCTAATTTTATCTTTCCCACAATGCAGCTCCCACCACTCTTGGTCGTTGTTAGCAGATGAACTTAGTCATACGCTTTTTACGTTGGCAGTGTCATCACAACCCACCTCTCCATCTCAGCGTCCCACCACATCCGTCCTTGCATTTACAGTTTATGAAGCATACACTTTGCTCTTCTGCCTTTGACTCCCCTATCTAGCACTTTTAAATGTTACCCATATTTCAAATTCTCTGTCTGGGATGTGGCTAGAACATTGGGAGATTTGGAAGCTCCTAAAGTGATTCTAATGTGGAGCCAAGGTTGAGAGCTACTGTGCTAATATTAATCGAAGAGACAGACCAATAAATGGCTAATTTCACTCTGTGTTATGCTAGAATAATAAACAGGTCACACAGAGGAACAGAGGTGTATTTAATTTGGCCTGGAGTTCCTTTTTTTTTTTT